AACATGGAGTCGGCTTCCCTGGCAAACAGGAAGCTGGGTAGCATGTAATTACCTGCTGCCCAGCTTCCTGATGGCATGGAGCTGGCTTCCTGGGCAAACAGAAGCACAGATACTCTGTATCAGTGAGTACCGAAAGCAAAGTATCCATGCATCCCTAGTTTTGATTAAAACATTTTTTTTGTATTGGGACAAGTAGATTGTCATGAGGGACAAGTAGATTCGGCCCCCACTTTAGTCCTTGGACAAGTAGTTTTTAAAAAAATTTCCACACCCTTGAGATTGGTAAGGTCTGCTGCATTCCTTTACTAATCAATCCTTTCAGCCAGCGTTCAGTGAAGGCGCCGGCTGAAAGGATCCGAGTGCCGGCACAGGAGCAGCTATGCGGTCTGCATCCGTGACCGCGTACCTGACTTGTAAGCTGGCTGCGAGCCACATAGTACCGGCTCGCGGGCCGCAATTACTAACTATGAAACATGATCTGAAAGGTAGAATATTATTTTAATGCTGTCAGTGTAATCACATCGAATTCCTCCATCTTCCTGCTCTTAAACCAATCATCTGCATAGGAAATGAGGGCAAGTATTCCTAATGAATCCACACAGCAATAAAGTGCTGGTAGACCTTCTATACCTTTTTGCTTCATGAACTTTTGTTTTTAATGCAGTCTCTGTCCCCATTAAGATTATTTTCCCTCACATTTTGTTGTGTGACACATCAAATAGGAAGTGAAGATATTTTCCCATATGAGAGAGATTCTACTCCAGTCTCTCCCAAAAAAAAGTTTGGCTTTTAAATATCAATCTTATTGATTGTGGAAGTTGATTTTATCAAAACTGCACAGATATATTTTCGATTAATTTTAGTTATAGAACGTTTATGTAAAGAATTTCTTAATAGTGACTTACCAATAATTATAGTTGTCTATATCCTGCTATTAAAATGTGTTACCCTTTGCTTTTTGGTGTGTTTGCTTTATCTGACAAACTTGACATAACTTCCAAACAGCAGTGGAAATGCAGTTTCCATGGTAACTGGTTTACTGGAGGGCTGGGCTTTGTAAAGAGTGCTGTCAATGTATGACGAAAGTCCCACAGAAGACAGTCTTATATCTAATCCAATTTTAATTGAACTCCAGAGACTTTGAAGTATGTCTGTGGAAGGGGATAATTGTACTGCATGACAGAGCAGAGGCTAAACTGCACACATAGGCTTTAACAACTATTTTAAGTAGCTTTTTCTTTTAAATATAGTGTCGGTATTAAATAAAATCTTGATACAGCCTCATGAAACCCATGCCCATGTGTTTATGTGTATAAAACAGCTAGTTATTTTGCAAAATTTTGTCAGTATCTACATTTGACACTCTTCCATGCAGGGAGCACATGTGAGAGCTAATCTCACCACACACGGTACAATCTATAGTGCAAGGGCTTGTCTGATTGGATACAAATTGATTGATTGGTTGGAATAAGTAGTTCCTCATATTACATCGTTGTTGTAAATCTAAAGCTGATTGTTCAAAGATTGTGTTGTCAGATTGTACCATGTGTTGACCCTCAGACCTTGTTCACACGTTTTTGGTCCATAGACTTTCATTGCATCTTAGAGCATTTTGAATGTGCGTTTAGCGCATGTTTTTTACAGCATGGAAAGACCTCCCATTTTTTTTTGCAAAGCACATTGGGATTCAAAATTTTGTCATCAAGACTGAATATGATGGAGACAGTTTTATCAATCTAATTCTGGAACAGGTGTGCCTTTAGGACCCTTGTCAACCACAATATAAAAATAAAAGAATGCGCAGGAGAGCGTAGTATCACATTGTATCCCAGATCTGAAAGTAATAATGATCCATCGCCAAGACAATGCAGCAGAGAACACAGCCACAAACACTCTTATCTGAGAGATATAGGAACAGGAAGTTATGTAAAAAGGGAACAGGGAACTTATGTCATGGATTTGACTGCTTTTTATCGGTTCAACGTGCCAGAGAAAAATGCCCGTCAACACGTATTAAAACTTACAGGAAATGCCGATGCCCAGGTGTGAACAAGGCCTTAGGCTGCATTCACACCTGAGCAACACATCTTACGCAAGGTTTTTGTAAGCATTTTTTGCGCGTTTTTACGAGCAGATTGTGCATGGGCAACAAGCGCTGAATCTGCTCAAAAATAAGTGTGACGCGTTTTTTTCAAGTGTTTTCTAGGGAGTCAGTGAGGAGAAAACACTGAATGTGCCCCAAAGTAGCTCATGGTGTGAACAGGGACCATAGAACTGAAAGGGATTCCTGGGGTCGAGCGTTTTTTTGTGCTGATTGACACACGACAATATGCTTAGGTGTGGATGGAGCCTTAGAGGTGTAAACAAGGACTGTAGCATCTGCATGGACTTTCACTGCAGTCCATATTTGTCCTAATGTGATTAGTGCCTGTCTGTATTTGCTTTCAAGACCTTTAGACCTAAGACCTAAAGTAAGAATACAGTGGCAGGTCAGTTTTATGCCCTAGAGCAGTGGTTCTCAACCTGTGGGTCGGGACCCCTTTGGGGGTCGAATGACAATTTGCCAGGGGTCGCCGGGAGTCTCTGGCTATTAGATAGCGGCTCCCGGCCGCCCGGGAGGGAAACACTTTCTCCCGGAAAGGTTTAATCTGCTCGATCGAGCACAGTAAACCTTTCGCTGCGATTGTTTTTTTATTTTTATTTCTGACATCGGAGAAAAAAATAAATATATCAGCATTGGAATGCATAGCGACATTCCTATTGGTTATTTCACTTTGCAATAGCAAACTAGCTATTGCACCCGCCCACTGCTGCTGTCAATCAGCAGAGGGGGACCTGCAGTTCTCCATCAGGTCCCCATCTAGCGATTAACATCATTATTATTAATAATAAAAGCTGACACCCTCGGGCTTGTGTTATATGGTTTGCCATTTTAGCTGTTACAACAGTGGTTCTCAACCTGTGAGGCGCTGTGTGATTTCTGCCGAGCTAGGTGAGAGTCCTCCTCAGCCCTCTCCTAGCGCAGCAGTGTCAGTTCTCCCACCACGCCGCCAGATGTCGCTGCAACAGCCGCGTCAACCCTAAATTTTACCGTTGTGGGTCACCACAACTTGGCAAATGTTACCAAGGGGTCCCGGCCCTAGAAAGGTTGAGAACCACTGCCCTAGAGTCTCCCATAACCCCACCATCTAAATTGTTACACTGGACTGTTTTATTTGTAGGGTTTTAAATGTCCATATAAAAAAAGTTTTGTTTTTTTTTGCTTTGCCTTAAGTGGTTGCTTTAATAGCATTACCTAGAAAATCAAATATTCATTGCAAACCCTGTTAATTTTATGTTAGTGAATGATGGCTCGACTTTGACATGCAGAAAAGAAATATACAGGAAATGTTTAGTTTGCCTTTTAAACCGAGTTTAGGGCCTTCTAGATGTTCATGTTTCAGTTATATGAAACCCTATTAAGTTACTTTAGCTAAGCTAGCAGCTCAGAAGGGTGTAAATGTATGTTGTCTTTTCCTGTGTGGACAGCTTGACAGCCAACAAACCCCTTTTATGTCCAGCATTAAAATGTGATTTTTACCAACCTTCCTAAGTATTACCTTTTGGTAAATATGAGCTAGCCTTGGAGATTTCTGAATTCCATACCTACTGGTAATTGGGTATTCCCATTTGCATGAATGTGTCTAAATTGTTTTATTTTATTAATATTTAGATGTTCAATTTGGAAAGTATAGGTTTGGAGCTCTTTAGTTTTCTAGTATGCCTAGCGAATGTTTTCATAGTATGATTTAGAAGTGTACAAGACAGCACCATCATCTACTATTGTACACTACTGGGTTGGTTGTTGAGAACACTTCCTAGGGGATAACAATAAATCTGTACTTGTGAGGAATTGTAAAAATGAAGATCCTCCGTAAAATATTTTAGCACCTGGAAATAAGGATACCCTTAAAGGTGAAGATCATTCAGCTGATGCCAATGGGACCATTTTTGACTCACATTAAAGGAGAACTATGAGGTGAGTGCTTTTCACTCACCTCATAGTTCTAGCCGACCTGTGACAGAGACTTTCACAGGTCGGCTCAGTAGATCGGGAAGTGAGCGAACACATACTGGTGTTCGCTCACTTCTCAATCCTGTCACAGCTCTCTGCCGTGACAGGGGTGGGACTGGATTGCCCGCTCCGATCCTCCAGCGCTGACTGGCGAAACGGACGGGGTAGGGGGGCGGATACAGCTGGCTCTGCCTCTAGATAGGCAGAGCTAGCTGTCATTCATGCAGCTCGGCGGATCCAGACACAATTGTCTCAGTATACCGCAAACTGTAGCTTGCGGTATACTGAGCTTAGGGTGACGAGAGGACGCTAGTTTGTGTCCTCCCGTTACCCTAAGGAGAACTATGGTGAAAAGCCCTAACCCCATAGTTCTCCTTTAATCACAGATTTTAATAAGCCCTCCAATAAATACTGGAATATCTGTTTTAGGTGGAGTTGTATCTCCACAAGAAACCATTATGGCAAGTGTATTCTGTTTGAATCATGCAATTGTTATTGTAGCCCAAACTGAACATATCATCTTGAGTATGGAATGGGTTAGACATGTCAGTTTGAATTTCTTGAAGTGTTCATATAACCTTTTAACCTAAAATTGTGTTGTGCAAAAATCTTCTGGCACAGCCCCCTTTACACACATCCATTGTAATATTATGTGCTAGGTTATTGAGTGCCAACTGTAAGTCTTGTGAAATGGTTGCTGAACAAGAAATGTGGCTACCCTCAATACTCTTACTTTATTTTTCTCTTGTAAAAGCCATTATCTTTTATGTTAGACTACTTCTACACTGCTGTATTACTGCCATTTGGAGCTGAAATTATGATATTATTATCTAAACCTTACTGTTCACAGTACTGCAGATAATGTCAGGTTCAATTTTTATCATTACTTCATGTTTGTGAAGTTTACCATATAGTGGTTTAAGTAAATTTTTTAATGTCCTTTCAGATTTTGGCCTACACCGAAGGAGTGCATGGAAAATGGCTCTTTACAGAAATCCGTGCTGTATTCTCAAGGCGATATCTTCTGCAGAACACAGCTTTGGAATTATTCATGGCAAACAGAGGTAATGTCTTAATACAATATATAGACGTGTTGGTACCTTCCATTAAAAAAAGAAGAATCCATAATTTTCTCAGAAGTAACTTAAAAATGATTGTCATTCATCATTGTTTATTTCATATTTGATATAGAATCAAACTTTACTTTTGATTCAACAATAATTAAACAAATGAAAATGACGGGGACAAAAACGATGGAACCCTAAACTAATATTTTGTTGTACAACCTTTAGGTATTAAGACCTAAGCCCTCCTTTTTTTTTTACCATGGTGGTTTTACTCCGTTTACCTTAACCAGGACATTATATTTCCATCTCTGTTTGGCTTCAGTACATCAGACTGAAATTTTCCTTCATTGCCTGCATGTACCTCTCAGCCACTGCTTCCATTAGGAAGACTGACTCTTTTTTTCATTTCTGATAGTCCCTGTAAAAGAGAACCAGCTTCTTGTTCTACAATTTTTAGGTGGCTCAGGCAAATCATATTTCAAGTGCTTCTTGGGCTTTTGTTGGGCAATTGTTTCCCAGGTGTTCAAGGCTGCTACTGGGTCTTCTGTTCACATGTTCACTAAGTTTTATCAGGTAAATGTTTAGGCATCATCCGATGCCAGTTTTAGGCATCAGGTCCTTCAGGCAGCAATTTGAGCGGCAGGCCCGACCCTGTTCTATTGTTTTTATTATGTGGACCTGTTAGTGTTTTGTTACTGTTGCCCACTCCTCAGTGGGCTGCTGTTGGTTGTCCCAATAGTCTCAGAATAACTTAGCCCTGTGTCCTTTAATGAATAAGAAATAAAACTGGATTTTTGTAATTACCGTAAAATCAATTTCTTGGAGTTCATTAACCACTTGCTTACTGTGGTGTTAAACCTCCTCCCTGTCCAGGCCATTTTGCGTTATTCAGCGCTGCATTACTTTATGCTATAAAACATTTATTAGTACCCCATTTTTTGGTAAAACATAAAAAATGGGGTCACGTCGGGTAAATAGAAACCAAACATGTCGAGCTTTAAAATTGCGTGCGTCCGCAAAATCGGAAAAAACTACAATGCCTAAAATTGGGCATAGGCGACGCTTTAAAAACCTTTACCGCTCATCAATTTAGTGTTATCAGTGATTAATGGCCCTAAAATTATTGCTCACACTCCTATGTTTGCAGCGATATGTAATATGTTATGTTATAAAACATTAGTACCCAATTTTTTGGTAAAACATACAAAAATGGGGTCAAGTCGGGTAAATAGAAACCAAACATGTCAAAGTTTAAAACTGTGTGTTCCTGCGAAATCGGAAAAATCTACAATGCCTAAAATTGGCCACAGGTGACGCTTTAAAAGCTTTTACCGCTCATCAGATTAGTGTTATCAGTGATTAATGGCCCTAAAATTATTGGTCACACACCCACATTTGCGGCAATATGTAACATGTGTGACGTAATCGTTGTTTTCACATGTAGGCACACCTGACGCGTATTTACATTTATATGTGCATGCTTCACCAGCTGTGGGAGAATGCTGATCTCTCCCGGGCCCGTAGAGAGAACAGTGGAGCGCGGGATAGCCAGCAGCAGTGGTGGTGGAGGAGGAGGATGGAGCAGGGCAGGGGACTGTATGTTATCATACAAGCGATCGGCCAGCTGTACAGCCGGCCGAACACATATGTAACAGCCGCTACAGGTTGTTAACATTCCCAGCAAGCAGAAAAAAAAATCAGCCCGTGTTTTTACTATCGGCGTTCGGCAACTGTTTAGGTTCAGAGGGCAAAAGGACCTGCATCCCTTAGAGTCTATATCATCTTAGTTGTCTTTACTAGCTCTATCGGGTGTCGCCAGCTTCCCTGCCCTTTTGGCTGACATTTTTACTACAGTCTTGCAAGACTTTGAGACAAATCACCTAGGTATTTACTGATTCTGACTGCAGAGGCCACAAGCAGGCTTCCACATCTTCCCCTGCAAATTCTGTCTGATATGCCTATGGCCTTAATGGACTTTGAGCCCTAAGCCACTGGGACACTGTCTGATTCTGAGTCATTCCTGTCCTTCCCTGACGAGCTTGCCTCTGAGGAATTGCAGTCTTTAGCCAATACTTCCAAATACTTCCAAATTAAAGGAAACCATTTGGGCTCTTGGTGCATTGTGCACCACTCTGACACTCGAATATCAGCCTGTTGCTTCTATTGGTGCTATCCCCTATCTTGGGTAATTTAGAGCCCCTAAGATCTTAAAAACTTGTCCTGTGCACCTGTTTATTCCAAGTCTTCCTTTATGGGGATTAAAAACACCTTGTCAAGATGTTTGCTTTCCCCAAGCCTTGTATCCGGCTAAAAAGATATTTGCCAGATCTACAGTGGGGACAGACCACTTTTTTACAATGTTCTGCCTTAACAAGGCAACAACTATTCCTGTCTTTAAGCCAATATGCCATTGGAAGTCTTTTCTAAAGCTCTCTTCCCACTGGCAGGCAATTATCCTTATCCCATCCCTTCAAATCATGCCACTACTACAGCTGATCCCATGGTCATAGAACAATTGTGATGGACTGCTGGAGGTTTCCCATTTTATCTCTTGCTTGCTTGTCTTTACATATGCAGAGGACACTTTAGTCAAATTATTTGACTGCACAACCTGCATCCAAAAAGCATCTAATCCCCATGTCCTTCGAGGAACAATACCACTTTGCATCTACTCTGGATACCATTATCAAGGATGCTACTGGTGGCAAGGGCACTAATCTTCCTCAGTGGAAGAAGCCCAAGCTACAGAAGATTCATCCCTCACTGGCAGTTAAGAAAAATATTTTTTTTCACCACTCCTACCTTAATCACTATCCAGTCACAGGCTGGGACAGGTCCAGGATGACCTGGGCTCAGTGAAAGAGGGTTGAATGATGCTGAACATCTAGTGGCAGAAAAAAAAAAGTACTATGGGAGTATATATCTGGATTGAGGCTGGTTTATAGCTAAATATTGCTGCAAAGCTTGTGTTTTTATTTTATTTTTATTAGGTCCTTTTCATTTTAACTTTGATTGGAGTTCTGTTTTAACATTTTGATAAGATTTCTTACATCAAGTTGATCTCTTTTACATGTTAACCCAAAAATTGAAAATACACTAATCCCTCTATTTGTGGGCCAAGCAAACACCCAACACTTTCGACAAATTCCAGAAGACATAGAATGCTAAATTTGCAGACTTACTAGTGGACAACAAAGAAAAAAAGCACAGTGCTCTTGTGAAGGTGTGGGGCATGTGTGAATGTGGTCAGTGTGGAGTGCTGCTCTAAGAACAGGAGGAGGAAACTGTGAACGTGGTGATGGAGCAGTAAGAGCGCAAATCCAAATGTATAAATAGTGTTGAGACAGCCCGTGAATCTCACAGAGACGGCCTGTCTCAACACTATTTATACATTTGGATTTGCGCTCTTATTGCTCCATCACCAGACTTACTACTGTGAAGCCATGCTAGTAACAGTAAAAGATGTTCATGAGATGACTCAGCAGTGACCTTAGAACAGCCATAGAAAAGGCTCCTATTCAGACCTCTTAAACTTACCCTTCTGAGGGCAAACATTTGCTACATAGAAAACATTAGGTATGAAAGCTATGCTTAAGGTTCACACTTTGTCTATCCCAGATCCCACTTCTTGACCTCTAAAATCATAAAGAAATTACAGCACATCATACCCAAGGGGAGGTTGTTCATCGTTTAATGAGCTAAAAGAGCTATTTACCCTTGATAATAAAATATATTTCAAGTACCTGCAGTTGCAACTCACTGCTTAAACACATGCCTTAAAAGAGAATTATGAGGTAAGTGTTTTCCTCCATAGTTAAGGGTCACGGGAGGACATATACTAGCGTCCTCCCGTGACCCAAAGCTCAGTATATCGTGAGCTACAGCTCGCGGTATACTGAGGCTGCCGCATTACTGTCAAGATCCACCCAGCTGCGTGAGTGACAGCTGGCTCTGCCTATCTAGAGGCAGAGCCAGCTGTACCCGCCCCCTCCCCCGTCCGTTCCTCCAGTCAGCGCTGGAGGATCGGAGTGGGGGGAATCCCTGCAGGGAGCCGTGACTGACGGTATGTGTTCGCTCACTTCCCAATCATTGTCACACGTCGGCTCGAACTTTGAGGATGAGTGACTTTCACTCACCTCATAGTTCTCCTTTAACTGCTTCAGTGACACTTGTATATAATGCAACAGATGCATTTATTTTTAAGGAAAGATGGGTTAAGCCCCCTATTGATCTTTTACCAGTTTGTACTCACTAGGTCTATTCCCAGATTTCAACTCGGCATCTGGAGATGGAGGATGTGCCAAGTTTGACTAAAGTGAAGTCCTCAGGGGTCCTGGAGACTCAGTACCACAGTGATATCAGCCAGTAAAAAGTGATTCAAATAAGATTCCTGCATAAAAGGATGTCTTGAACTAGAAAGAGAAGAGTGACAAAATATGGGGTTTGAAGGGCTTCCATTTATGAGGAACAATTACAAAGATTGAATTTATTCACTCTAGAGAAGAGGTGCTTTTAAGGGATGGTAAAGTCTCACAATGTTTAAATACATTAATAGTGATTATACAACCCCAATTCTGAAAAAGTTGGGATGCTGTGTAAAATCTACATAAAAACAGACGGCAAGGATTTGCAAATCTTATAAACCCATATTTTATTCACAATAGAAAATATATAAAATGTTTAAACTGAGAAAATGTACAGTTTTTAAGAAAAAAATAAATTTTTAAATTGATAGTAACACAACTAAAAGTTGGGACAGGGCCATGTTTCCCATGGCGCAGCCTCCCCTCTTCTTTTATCAACACTCTAAGCATTTGGTAGACCATTTGCTGGAGTTTTGGGAGAGGAATGTTGTCCTACTCTTGCCTAATATAGGATTCTCATTGCTCAACAGTCCTGGGTCTTCTTTGTCATATTTTTTGTTTCAAGATGCGCCAGATATTTTCATTTGGTAAAAGGTTTGGAGTGCAGGCAGACCAGTTGAGCACCTGGACTCC